CCCCAAAACCCCAAAACCCCAAAACCCCAAAACCCCTCTTAAGTTCAAAATTTTTGAATTTAAATAATTTTATAAAGATAAATGGAAGAATTCAGACAACTCCCTGATGGCCAGTACACTCAAGTTATTTATACTCTCATCAAAGAGCAGAAGTATATTGAGGTGATAAATCTCCTCTCTAATGAAATCCAGTATTACCCAAGAAGTAGAGCTGCCCTTTCCTTGCTCGGTTATTGTTACTATTATGTTCAGGATTACGAGAACGCTTCTGATTGATATGATCAGCTGGTGAAGATTTGTCCTGATGTAGTCGATTACCAAATCTATCATGCCCAAAGTTTGTACAAAGCTGGTGATTACGAGAGCGCCCAGAAAGTATGCCAGTCGATTGACAGCCCAGAGCATTCCAACAAGATCGTCCAGCTTCAAATTGCTGTCCAATATGAATTAGAAGAAGTATCTCATGCTAAAAATCTTGCAGAACAGCTTGAGAAAGATTCTTCTGAGGCTATCATTACTGAAGGATGCTTACTATTCAAAGAAGAGAAGTACGAAGAAGCTAGACAGAAATTCCAAGAAGCCATGAACTCTGCTGGATACAGATCCGATCTGGCTTATAACATTGCCCTCTGCTATTATAAGATGAAGCAATTAGCTCCTTCTCTGAAGCATATTGCTGATATTATTGAGAAAGGAGTCAGAGAACACCCAGAGCTGAGTGTTGGATCAAACAGCGAAGGAGTTGAAGTCAAATCAGTCGGAAACACTCAAACTCTCAGAGAGACTGCTCTGGTAGAAGCTTTCAATCTCAAAGCTGCCATTGAATATACAATGAATAATTATTCATCTGCAAAAGAAGCACTTCTTGACATGCCTCCTAGAAATGAAGAAGAGCTTGATCCTGTCACTCTTCATAATCATGGTCTGATGAACATTGAGGAAGACCCTCAAGGTGGATTCAAAAAGCTGAACTTCTTGATCCAAAATCCTCCTTTCCCACCAGAGACATTTTCAAATCTTCTGTTACTTTACTGCAAATACGCTCATTACGACCTGGCTGCTGATGTACTTGCTGAAAATGCAGATTTAACCTACAAATGATTGTCACCCGAAGACTTCGAATTCCTTGAAACAATCATCCTGCAGCAGACCTCCAAAGAAGAGGCTTATAAGAAATTCGAAGAGCTCTCGAACAGACATATTGATGTTCTAAGAATGAACACCAAATCAATTCAAGATGCTAGACTTGCCAGAGACAATGAAGCTATCAAGAAGACTCTCAAAGAGTATGATGACTCTCTTGAGAAGTACATTCCAGTCCTCATGATGCAGGCCAAGATCTACTGGGATGAAGGAAACTACAACATGGTCGAAAAAATCTTCAGACAGAGTGCTGAATTCTGCTCAGAACATGACACTTGGAAGCTGAATGTAGCCCATGTCTTCTTCATGCAAGAGAACAAGTACAGAGATGCTAAAAGGTACTATGAACCAATTGTTCAAAGACACATGGATGACCTCCTGAGTGTCACAGCCATTGTTTTGGCTAACTTATGAGTCAGTTACATCATGATTTCTGAAAATCAAAATGCTGAAGAACTCATGAAATGAATCGAAAAAGAAGAAGAGAGGATTGCTGTTGAAGATCCAAACAAACAAATCTTCCATCTTTGTATTGTAAACTTGGTTATTGGTACTCTATACTGCTCTAAAGCTAACTACGAGTTTGGAGTCTCAAGGATCATTAAGAGTCTTGAACCATATAATAAAAAGTTAGGAACAGATACCTGGTTCTATGCTAAGAGATGCTTCCTCGCTCTTATTGAGACATTAGCCAAGCATATGATTGTGCTCAAAGATCAAGCCTATAATGAGATTCTGAACTTCCTGGATGCAGCAGAGATCCATGGAAAAGAGATTAAGACTAAAATTGATCCTCTTGGAAATGTAGATGAGACAAAAACTGTCACTTATGAAGCTCGAGTTCTGAAGAGAATGTTCTTGAAATTAAGAGAGTCAACCCATTATCACCCTCTAAACTGCTAATAAAATTCAATAAATTGTCTTCTCTACGGGGTTTTGGGGTTTTGGGGTTTTGGGGTTTTGGGG